ACATTGAATTCAGGTGTCTCCTAGGAAATACGACAAGTTTCCATCCTTCAAGCAAGGCGTAAAAATCACATAAAAAGCAGTTATCATGAAAAGGAAGAGCGAATTCAAGCTGTCCAAAATTTATTTTGTGTATCCATTTGTCGCTCTCCACAAGCGATGAAAGACATGACTGAACGGAAAAAGTGACTGTGGAAATGCGCTAGTGATAGGCACAACTGTCGGTGTTGCCATAGATGAACGGAATCAGCAAGGATTGCCTTCCCATGATTAAATGTCGTATTCTTTCACCAGAAAAGCCCAAAGGAGACACGTTTTACTTGCACCAATTAGGCAGTAAGTTCACAGCTCTTTGGATGCGTAACTGCTGTGTCTAACTGAATGAACATAGGCAACGTGGATTATGTACAAGTAAGCCAACTGCATGTTTAGACTTCTTTTTGACCTACACAAAAATGATGAATCCGCACAGGACTTTTAGTTAAGTGGACTGCATTGAATCTCCCAACATAATTATTCGTCGAAATCGAAACCCAGGTACATTTTAGTTGTTGCTGATAAAAATGTTACTCCGCATCGTTCTTTAAAAGTATCCGTTTGAAAAGTTGTGGTAAACGCAGTCAGCACATGGTCATTTTTATCTAAACAGTTTTCTATTCTTCGATATCTTTAATCTTGTTGAAGAAATTTGCAAGAACATTTGTAGGCACGAATTAAGGCAAGAACTACTTTATCATCGGTATATTTCACTCGAACAGCGATACTTTACAAAGGTCGCGGATGATTGCTTGAACAATGAACGAAGCAGGTAATAGATAAGACCCCTGAAAAAGCCGCATGCAGTCTGCTGGACTGTTATGTTCTTAGTGTCGATGCGGAAAAATTGGCAGAGCCTGAATGACACGACGCAGCGTTATAGCGATTGGGATGGTTAGTGTTATTAGCGATAACTTTCGACAGCAGTTCATGGAAAATGATATTAAACGCTGAACTGCGCTCTATGGACGTGCCGCGAACAAATGAACGTTTCTTATCATGTAGGGTGCTCGCTATAAAATCGACTACGACAACTAGTGCGTGCTGTCTCTATAAGTTGACGCTTTCGTTACTTTTCATTTAGTAGGATTTTAAACTGGAACAGCACTGTTGTTTCGGGTTCATCTAAGTGTTGTGGCGTCAGTCCCTGATTTTACAGTTTAACGAAGCATAGACACTTTACAGCAAGTCTGTGGTGAAGGACGCGATGATCAGTCAGGAACCTTTGACTTCCAGATTGTTATTGCCAGCGAAAATTAAGTCTTGAATCAAGCCGCACAGGATACGGCATGGTCACGGAGACCCACGACAACAACAGTGTGAGAATGATGATAATCTACATCGCTCATCAAGACACTATTGGCTGCCACGGATAGACCAAAGTGTTCCGTAACTTTCTGACAGGGTCTTCTCGGATGGTTCGCTACCAGTGTTGTATAATACCGAAAATGTAGACACTGCCAACCAAAATGCCACGTTTCAACATTAGCCATTAATGGGCTATCGTAGGCCATGACGAATTCGCGAGATTTGGAATGCGATGATGATCGATGCAATTACAATCGAAATCATGTGGGCTCAAGTCTTTGCTATTGTCGCTGGTAAGCATGCAGGTCCTTTGCAGCAGGACGATGCGGGTAGTTCTGAGGAGAGGAACTTAATAGTATGACTAAATTCTTCAAACTTTAGCACTAACGAATGACAGTTGTTCGTATGCACGGCGGACAGTCGCGTACGATTCGAGAAAGTCTTGTCATCTTCCATCGCCGCTTCTCCTTTCGGGTCGCGGAGGCAGACGCGTCAGACTGCTTCCAACGTTCCCGATCCTGTGCCAGAGTCTGAGCT